AAAAAATAGACATGTATCCCTTCTGTAATTACATTTTCCTTATTTTCTAGATTATATGATACGGAGAAAGTTAATCATCACGATTTTATAGATCTATTAATTGTGTCGCCTTTTTTAGTTATACATACAGGATCAAGGCTTTGACAAAAGCCAGTATCTGAGACGATTTTACAGAGACTACAATCGTACCAAAATTTATGGCATGAATGGTTATCGTCTCGGCGCACTCAGTGATGAGTTGTTCTGGTTAGGTTAGTTCTGGTATTTGCCCATTTTCCTCACAGAATCTGCCTTCTGTTGCTTCTTAACTTCAATCTACTAAGGTGTACAGGGTGGGTCAAATTTGACGCTTTTAAATGGAAACACCCTTTTCTAGAGGAGATAGACGAAAACTAATGTTGGTGTCTGGAGCTCAATTTTCATCAAAAACATAATGGTGAAAACCGCACATCAATGTCTGTTACCGTTTCGGAACTACGGGGTGTTTATCAAAAATGTGCATTTTTAACAAATCGCTGTAACTTTTTTGCTATGGAAAATTTTGTATTTCTATGAAAACATTTCCAAAGCACCTTTTCACGTAGAATTTAATGGTTTAAGTATATTTTTTTTAAATTAATAATTTAAAAGTTATCAACAGAAAAATTGATTTTTTATTTGAGACACCCTCTATATTTTTAATTAACTGAAAATAATTTAAAATTACCTTTTCAAAAATATAGCACACTTGATGTTTTGTTATAATCCCCTTCGAAATGCAGAATTTCTAAAAGATCGCCACTTTTAAGTAGTAGGCTTTGGACCCCTTATTGATGATATGCCCTTAATGGAACTCGAAAACATATTTTTCCAGCAAGACGACGCACCGCCTCTGAATGCTGAAGTTATCAGCAAATTTTTGCAGCCAATTTCAAGAATCATTGAATGCTAACCAAGATCCCAGCCGTTGGCCGTCGAGGCCGCCTGACTTAGTGCCCATGGATCTAATCATATGGATATATATGCGGAAGAATAAAGGTTCCTTATTCTTCCGTTGTTTTAAAGTTATTTAAAGAAAATAAGATGTAAAAGAATGTAGAATAAGGGGGGGGGTTAATCATTGCGACCTTAAAGATCTATTGTGGCCCCCTTCCTTGAGTCATCACACTGTCTATAACCCATTGTAGAGGGGACAGGGTATTTCCCATCCACCTCTGACAACAGTTCTTCCTCCGAGGGTACACATGCACCCTTCCACATGCCCTTCACAGTCGAGGAGCTTGCCTCCGGCTGAGGAATCCGTGAGGTGGAGGCTGGAGGATCTGTCTCCAATTTCTCCACCTCTGTAACTTGGTCTCTCCTTAGACATGATACCGGTGTTGTCTCGTATCTATAATAGAGGATATGTCCCTCTTTCTCTATTGCCTCCTTGGATTTGAGGTCAATTCCTATTGTGAGGACCTGACCATGACCCTCCTCCCTCGAGTTGATGACTCGCCAACTCGATGTCCATACATTGAAGTTCTGACCCTGGATAAGGCTCAGCAGGTAGGTGGTGTCTTTTCCCTTGCTCCTCTGCAGAAAGACCGTGATGGCCGCCCCAAAAAAATAAGATGCTCGTGATACAGTTCACTTACGAAATACATGAAACAAATGAGAGTACACATCATTATCACCCTTTCCAGCTCATTAAACCATTTCCAGTTATTATAGTGTAGCCTCACATATTTAGGTACTCTCTTTGTATTTGGGCCTATTGTTGTCTATTGTTGGCTATGCGGGCCGCATATTTTTAAACAACATCCATGATCGCGATTCGGTTCTAGGCCGAACGATGCCGCGTAAACAGCATACGATATCGCAAATCTGTCTTGTAAATAGCATCCGTGATTCCAAATTTTAACTGCCTTAACTTCTCTTATAAACAGACGTAATTGCGAAATTTGTTGATTGATTGCTCTTAATCAGCATTGAAGATCGCAAAATTTCCAAGTGCAAGATGTCTACCAAAGAATATAGTACTAAATATTATTTTCCAAAAAATTAATTTGTCCCCAAACCACGAGTATATAAGTTAGTAAATAAAGAAATCATTAGAACACCTTTCGTTAAAATTTTTTGTTTTGAGTAATTACTCAAAACAAATTAACTTAAAAAAATCAGATTATCAATCGAATCCAAAAAATAAATGCTAAAATGAATAAAGTTACAGAATGTTTTAAATTTCCCGGACATTTTACCCAATGTTTAGAGAATAACCAGCTTTACTTCAAAAATTACACTTTCTGTAGTTTTATTTCCAGATAATTTGACTTTTTCTACATTTTTTTGTACAACAAGATTGTAACTTAATTCCTTCTTGATATTATTTTTTATAGTTACAATTTCAAATCTTTTTTTTTAAGAACAGTTTAAGAAGGTATTAGAGATTTACATTAAGTTCTATCTATGTTCTGTTGATTTCTCGACACACGATTTTAGGTTTTACTTTATAATCCTCTATAATAATCGAACTTTTTATGAATTAACAGCACGTTGACGTTTTTTTTTCGTACGATCACCAAAGTTAAGCAGCAATATGCGTGGTTGTTATTGGAAAGGTTGGCCGCTTGAAAACATCCAGTTTTTTATTTTTGGCTGGCTCAATTTGTGTTAACAAACAAAATTTTCGATCCTGAATACTGATTACAAGCAACCCATTAACAAATTTAATCTTCGACAATGTCATTATGACATATTTAATATTGTCATTTGGATGTCATTATAGCTTTCATAATAGCACTAGTGCTATTATGAATTCATAATAACACGCAAATTTTAAAACAAGAAACAAGCAAAAATAGGTACCTAAATGCCTTTATTTATTGTAAACATTAATTATAATATCAGTACAATTGGTTAAATTAATTCCAGACGATGACAGGTGAGTTGAATTATTAGAAAGCAAATGTATTTCCTGAGTGCTTGAACTTGTTGAAGACTCATCATTGCCAGAAATGTTACCCAAAATATTACATGACACTTTTTTCTTATTTACTTTGGAATTTTCTATATAGCTCGCTGCCACTGTATTAGCCCGCCAACCACCATGTCTTTTAACAGTTAATAAATCCACTCTTGAATCTGCAAGCAACGATGCAGACGATCTACGGAAACAATGTCCAGTGTATTATTGTTGTGGATTTGGAAGACTTGGAAACAATGCTATTTTCTACGGCATTTTCCCTAAAGTATTAATGCCAACGGGTTGCTTAATACATTTTCCATTTCTGTACCCGACAAAAAATCGAGTATGCTTGTGTTGCTTGGCCGCATAGCTATATATCTTCGAACCATTTCCACCATATTTATTCCTTCAACATTCCCTTTCGTTATAAAAAAATCTCGTGATATCTTTGTTTTCGCAAATGGAATAATGACATGAATGCATTGTCCTTCATCTTTAACATTTTGCATCTGCAGATTTATCAACTCGATACGCCGGCAGGCTCCCGCAAGTCCCACTATCAATGAAACTTTTGTCAGGAAATAAGTTTTATCTTCTCTTTTTTTTAATCTTCTCTATTTTGTCTTCTTTTCTTAAATTTCTCGATTTTTTTTCTTGACCGAAATCCTTCCGATTTTCTTTTTAGAAATGCAATTAATTGGACGTACTTACTAATATCTGTATTTTTCTTCACTGATATAACTGAACGTAGCATGGAATGATATACCCAAAGTGATGAAGCCGTCCTATGTTTTGAAAGATGTTCAAAATATGCCAGGAGAACCTTTTAGTTACTACCACCAGTTTTTTAAGCCACCCTATAGGAGTTAAAATATTTTCTTGAAATACATCCTACTACGTATTTTAGGTTCGCACTTAAACATAATTACCAAGTTTTTGATTCTCCGAGCTACAGATGCCCGACGCATTATTGCATTATGCCGATTGATCATTGCCAAATCAAAAATACTTAATTAACCTTCCCTAACAAAGTATAAAACTTTTAGTACCTTTAGTAATAGACAGAGGGCGTAACATTTACGACTTATAGAGGTTTAAAATTTAATTAGTTTCTCTACATACGGAAATTTTATTTGACGACTACAAGCATAAAAGTAAAACCAACAAGAAATAAACTTTGTAATTAACTAACTAATGGTCTCTTTATGTTGTATATTGGAGTATATTTTTCTGAATATAAAAAAGACAACATTTTTTTTAAATAAAAGTCGGTTTTACTTATGTTTTATTCATACATATCATCTTTTGTGTATGGTAATAATTTACAACAAAAAAAAATATAGTGCACATTATAATATTTCTCCACAGAATAAATGTATATGTTACAGTGAAAGTCGGAAATCAAGTAAATGTTAAATATCACTAGGAAATATTATCAACTGCGCATTGGACCAGTGAATGCCGTGTTTTAAAGAAATTTGTGGACTTTACTTAGTAATTTAGAGAGAGAATATATAGGAGAATGGAGGGTAAGAATACGCAATCCTCAGTAAACTGTTTATATAAGTCAAAATATGAAAGCTAAGAACAATTTAAAAATATTATAATAAACTTAAAGGTTTTAAATAAATGTTTCACACGGGAATAAGAAATACAGCATAAAAGTATATTAGAAAAAATAATAACTTCACACATAATGTACGTACTCTTAGCAGACTGTCAGTTTAAGAGTACGCATATGGTCTTCTAAGAGTACGCATTGTCTCAATCCTCAGAATCATCACAGATGTGGCATATGTAGTACCCTAATCCAGAGTAAGCAGTGCAGTCCTCATGGAACCAATTTTTACATGTCATGCACTGAATCCAATCACTTTCAGGGGGGTCTTCATATATTTCATAGCAAACCGGACACAAAATCTGTTTTTGGTTTGAAGGTGAATTTAGTGATTTTTTGCTGATTTGATTTTGTGATTTTATAGACTCCGGACTCTTTAATTCGTCCATATATTTTCGTTTCGTCTGTTTGAATTTTTGGGTTTTGGCTTGCTTGCATGCTTGGAGCTCTTCTAACTCAGATTTGTACGGTGACGCAGTTAGCAGTACAGACTTCTTCTTCTTGCGGGCATTGGCAGCTCTTGGTAGTGCTTTTGGTAGTGGTTTTATTAATTTCGGCGAGATAAAGTTGGTCGAATTTTGTGGTGGTGTGGAAGGCGGTGAATTTCGTACCCTTAGTGTTGGTGATGGTGTTTGCTTTCCACGAGAAGATGTTGAGCAGTGGAGAGTGGGCCAACTTTCCTAGTGGCGTTGAAGGCGGTGAATTTTGTGACCTTGATACAGGTGTTGGGAGTATCGTCTTTGTCGAAATGTTTTCCATCAGTTTGTGCTGAAGAACTGATAAGAGTAAATCTTCATCACTGTCGTATTCATCTTCTGCTCTCGGATTCGAATTTTCTGCACTGGAGTTTTGGTTTGGAAATAGTTGATATGTTACTGTAGCGGGTGCAAATTCTTCTTCCGAAAATACATGCGGATTATATGGAAAAATACCGCATATCTCAAAAGCTTTTATCGCTCTTTCAATTGATGCTATTCTACTGTAGGCATTTGCGAACAATTCAGCTACTTGAAACATAGTAATTGGTCGCCCCGGATTATTGACATGCCATTTGTCGCATTCTTGGCCATAAGCGCTTTTCAGTGGTCCGAAAATTTTTTTATCCAGTGGCTGGATTTTGTGGCTACAATGGGGAGGTAAACTTAACATGTTAATACCCAACCCACGACATTTCATAACTGCTTGTAAACTCACATGGCTCGAATGATTATCTAAAACGAGTAAAACTGGGTCTTCAACTGAGCTTTTGCAAAATGTTTGAAAATGATCCAGCCATCTCAGGAAGAGCTCGCTAGTGATGAATCCCGAGTCTGAAACAAGCTGGAGTGTCCCTGCTGGAGCTCTATCAGTTAGCTCAGCTTTCAGTCTCTTTCGTGGAAAAACCAGTGCAGGTGGAATGTATTGTCCAGTTGCTCCCATACAACACACCGCAGTTATTAACTGGCCCCTCTCAGATGAAACGATTTTTCCTACAGTTCTTTTCCCTCTGGGAGCTACAACCTTGGGTAATTTGTTGGGCACGGTTAGGATACCAGATTCATCCATGTTGTACAAACGGTGCGGCAGTATTTTTTTCTCATTCAAGATTTGTCTTAGGTTTCTGAAAAACAGTTCTACTTGAGGCCTATTAAAGCCAGCAGCGCGAGCAAGGCTTGTTTTTTCTGGAACACGTAAACTAAGTTTATGACGCTTACAAAATGAGTACACCCAATCTTTTCCGGCCGATCTTTTTTCTTTATTAAATCTGTGGTTTAAGTTATTTCTTTCGACATACTCAAAAACCAAGTTACCAAGTGCCTTAAGTGTGAGCCCATAGAATGTTTTATCTAAATCTCTACAATAAATAGCCAGTTCCTCTTCCATTTCTGGGGTAAAAAATAAATTGAAGCGACCCAGTGATGTAGGCAACTGCTTTTAGCCGTTTTCTTAATGTTGCTTCATGTACGCTGATTGAATCTGCTATTGAGCGTTTACTTGGAAAGTTTCCTTGCAGCAGTTTCTCCTTTACTTGTTCTAATAGTTCTGCCGTAAATATTAACTTCCTATCAGTCTTGCGTCGATATTTACCCATATCGATCTAAAATAATAAAACATACTTTAAAACTGTGCTATGAAAATTCTAACAGGTAAAATGTACGCATATTAGGCTAAGAGCACGCATCCAGCTAAGAGTACGCATGCGTACTCTTAGAACGCGTAGTCTTCACCTTCTCACAGAAATTCTATTTATTAACTCATGGACACTTTTTTTTCAACATAACCTATAAACTTAACACATCGATCAAAACCTCAAAAGCATTAGTTTTTAATAATACTTACATAAATTGAACAATAAGCAACAGGTACTATTCAATCACTACCAAGTTACACGAAAAAACTATATCAAAACTGGTAAAATTCTTAATTATTGGATTTCCACGCGACAGCCGCTTGAGACACAGAGAAATTTTGTTTGTTCTGAACGTACACACTAAAATGAATAACCGATCGGGTCTATAGCACCATCTACAAGTGGGCGTCTAAACTAAGGGCAATGCGGACTCTTGGTCGACGCGTACTCTTACCCTTCATTACCCTATATATACAAATCAGTGCATAACGTTCTTCGCCGTCTTCTGATTTCCAGTCTCTATTGGTCTCTGTCTGTCCAGAGGTTTTCGTCTATTCCTCTTGTTCTGATGTCCCGGTCAATTCCTTTTCTCCAACTCCGTCTAGGTCTCCCTCTCTTTCGTTTATCTTAGAAAGAAAGAAATTGCTTTATTGTCATAAAAAAATTAAACAATTTTGTTGACAAGGCTTAAAAAAAAGAATACAAAAAACATACAAAACTTCACTTAACAATAAAAAACATATAAAACTAACAGCAAACATACAAAACTAAAACAATACTTTATACAATTAAAGAAATTGTACATTGTCAAAAATTTATTTAATTAAATATAAATAAAATATAAACATACATGTAAATAAACAACTGTATATAATGTCAATACTAAATTTAAATGGATAGAAAACAAAATCATTTCTTAAATTTAGTGAATGTGTGTTAAATTTTTTTTTTTTTTAATTAATTTATTTATTATTATGTTTTTTTTTCTTGTGGTGTCCAATTGAGTATTTTCTTCGGGATTCTGCTCTCTTCCATTCTTTGTACGTGCCCGTACCACCTGAATTGATTAATTTTGATGTCTTCTGATATTCTGTGTTTAACGCCCATGATGTTCTGAATTCTTTCATTTCTAACTCTATCCAGTTTCGATATCCCGGCCGCGTGCCTCCAAAAGTCCATTTCTGTAGCTTCGAGCAACTTAAGGTTTCTTTCTTTCAAAGGCCATACTTCACTACCATAACTAATGATGCTTTTCACTTTGCTGTTATAAATTTTGTGTTTGTTTTGTTTTGATACGGCCTTATCCCATAAAATATTGTTGAGTTGTCTAATTGCTTGTCTTCCCTGGTTGTTTCTGCACTTAATTTCTTCATCAAGGCTACCATCGTTGGTAATGTGCACGCCAAGATATTTATATTTTTGGCACTGTTTTATTTCTTGCTGTTGCTGTTCTAGGATTAAGTTCTGTTGTTCGCCACCGATACACATATATTCCGTCTTCTTAACGTTTATCTCCATCCCCCACTTGTTATACTCTTCAATTAGTTTGCGGGTCATATATTCCAGGTCCTCGTAGTCTTGAGCCAGTATTATTTGATCATCAGCGAAACAAAGAGTGTAAAGTATCGAGTCGTTTAGTGGTATCCCCATTTGTTCGCACCTCCTTTTCCAAGGTTTTCAGAGCTTGTTCCAAATAGATTTTAAACAATGTCGGCGATAGACAGCAGCCCTATTTAAGACCTTTGTTTATGCTGAATCCCTTTGATACTGTTTGTCCTTTCTTTACTTAGCTAGTGTTGTTCTTATATAGTTCTTGGACAGCCTTAATTAATGTTATACTGATATTCGTTTTCTCGAGGGCTTCCCACAATTTAATTAAATTATATGTATTTAGTGAGAGTAACAATTATTTAAAATTTGTCAATAAAAATCATTCTCAATATAATTTTATTGCTCTTACTAGCAACTTCTAATAAATGTTACTCTCACTAGGTACTGCTCTTAGTAAGTGAATTGCTGATTATGTAACATTAATAAATATTTATCACTCTTACTAGCGACTAAAATAAGAAGTGCATTGGTGGAAGTTAAAATTATAGGAAAACTATAATAAACCATAAACACCAATATTCAAATATTTGCCTTTATACCTAACTTCAAAAAATATCAAGCACCTAGTCGCTACTATACTAATTTTTACTACTATTACTACGACTACTAATTTTTGCGTTGTTAATATCTTCTCTGTGCCCTGTGTCTCGTGAATGCTGACAAATCTTATATTTGTAAAAAAATCGCCCTTGTTTAAATAATCTTTATATTATTTAATTCGAATATTTAACGGGCTAGATGTTTCACCTGTATAAAATTTATCATATTCACATAGTATTTTGCAAATTAAATTTTTGGTTTGTTTTTCCTTGGGATTAGCAACGCCTCAAGAGCATTCCGACTGTTAAGAATCTTTCATGAATAGTTGTAAACTGTTTCAGAATATACAACATGTGTATTTGAAGGAGAAAGGCACCATTACTGCATTGTTCGATTTCACGACATCAATAATACAACATCTGGAAAATAAAGATCTGGCAATGGGCATATTTCTTGATTTGTCGAAAGAATATGACTCTTTAGACCACCATTTACTATTAATAAAACTCGAAAAATATGGAATAAGAGGTCCAGCACTCAAATGGATTACATCATACTTGACAAATAGAGAACAAGTTATTGTGAGAAAAGACGAAAAGATTACTAAGTCCAGTATACAAAAATTGAATATTGGTATACCTCAAGGCAGTATCATTGGGCCACTACTTTTTATCATCTACTTAAACGATATTAGTCAAACAACAAGAAATGCAAATTTTAGCCTTACATGCTATGCAGATGACACTAATATACTTACTCATGGAACAACACAAGATATTCTGAAGGAGAATGGCAGTAAGACTTTCATGAGAGTAGAGGAATGGTTTGAGGCAATTAGACTAATGCTAAATAAAGAAAAAACTAATATACTCATTTTTCGAATACAACAGAAGAAAATTGAATTAGCGAGCAATTTGAAAATTGGAGAAATGGATGTCAGCCATGGTGGTGAATGCAGATTTCTTGGTATTTACATAGACGAGCACTTAAAGTGGACCCGACATATTTATAAGCTATGCTTGAGACTTGGCACAATTTCTTACGGTCTGAGAATTGTGTCAAGTTATGTGAACCCAGACTCAATGAAGACACTATACTGTGGAAATTTTGAGGCACTGCTGAAATATGGAATTATTCTCTGGAGATCAAATTCAGAAACTGCAAAAATTTTTGTGATTCAGAAAAGAATTATAAAGAAACTTCAGTACAGAGAAAGCTGTCGAGGACACTTTAAATCCTTCGGAATTATGACGCTTCCAGCTCTTTATATCTATGAGTGTTTAATATTCATCTTCAAACATAAGTCCCTATTTGAAATGGAAAAATCTCATGAATACCAAACAAGATCCAGTGATGCCAAGTTCCCCTCACATCGTCTCACCCTGACTGAAAAAAATCCAGTACATATGTGTGTAAAGTTTTACAATAGCCTCCCTGAAGACATAAGAGCAATCGAAAGTCAAGAAACCTATAAAAAATTGGCGCCGGGAGGCACGTATAGCCGCCCATACTAAAATATGTTAATATCTGTAAAACTGCAACTTTGACTGATTTTGATGTTATTACAAATTTTGTTGCAAATATTATTCCTAGTCTTAATTCGAAAACCGCGTTTCGCTAGCTACTGTAATTTTGGAGTTACGATTTTTTTAAATATTTAACCACCTCCTATACCCCCTTACCAACACCCCACCCCCACCAAAAACTAATGGCCAGATTCTCGGGTGCCACATTATTTTTGTGCCAAATTTGGTTAAAATCGGTTCAGCGGTTTTTGAGTTGTCGTGTTATAGACGGACAGACGGTCGGACAGACAAACAGACAGACACCACGAAAATATTTTGTATTTTGGTCATTTATGACCCAAATAACTCATTTTGAGTGAAATTAAAAAAACTTATTTTTGCCGATCCTAATAGCCTACCATACCTATTGGTATGGTCGGCTAAAAATCGTTGAAAAAACTCTTAATTGAATTGGAACCCTACTCAATCAATGAATTCTTAATATAAAAGTCTCTTCACCGCTGACAATATTTCAATATGTCTATACAGGGTGTCCCAGAAATGAGTGCAGATATTTTAAGGGGTGGTAGATCTGGTGAAAATAAACATATTTTCCCTTTACCATTTTTAAAATAAATTGAAAATAACCGAGTTATTTAACTTTGAAAATTTAAAAAAATAATCGCAACATTTTGAGAACCGCCGGCAGATATCGCCAACTACATCCAATTACCCGGATCAAGCCCGGATTTCAGTTAATTCGACGCACTGTGTTGCCATAGGGACAAGAAAGTATATGTTAAAAGTAAGTCATAAAATCACAACACCTGAGGAGTTTGCAGAGATGCAATACATTTTTAAGATTGTGATATTATTACATAAAATAAATTAAAAGTTAAATGTTTAATAATGTGTTAAAAAAGTTAAATTAAAAAACTTACCCAACATTAAAAAGATACTTATGACAGGTCGATGTAACTGTGACAGTTCTCTTTATCGATATACACTTAACTAAAATACACTTCACTGTGCTGCTTTACTTGTACATGCTATTATAATAACTGCTAAAATATCAGTCCCCATTTTTAACACATTAT